TTCAATCGATGATGGAAGCCAAGAAACATCAGAATAGTTGTCGCCAATCAAATAATTTGTGCCACGCTTTCTTCACTATGACCATTCATACTATCAAGTAAACAAAGGCTGCCCATTGCCCCCGGGGCACATCCCAACTGGCAAAGGACGGGACTTTTAGTTGCTTGTAGTTCAGAGGTCGCGAGTTCGATTCGTGAGGCTCTTAGAAGGCAGACTCTCTCCTGGAAGACATGATTTATCCTGGAAGGCAGGAGTTCTCCTGGAAGATAAGGTGCAACGTGTGTTGACTCGTTCGACACTTTGGTAGGTCAGTGGAGGGGGCTCTTGGACCCTAATTAGTTTAGGGCACATCCCGCAGTTTACCTGGTCTGCGTCTTGAGGGGCCAAGGCGTAGACCCCATGATTAGTTGTCGAAGGTGGATATCTGGTTATAAAAAAAAAAATACAAAGGCTGCCCATTAATTTGGTTCCATGCATAATTTTTTTTTTTTTAACAATTAATACGTCATGTCATTGCAAAGCATGTTAATTAACATGATAAGTCTTTCGTAAGATAAGACTTAGCTACGTAAATGGTTACCCTCGTATCTCCATCAAGATTCAATCTTTATCAACCGAAATAGAGCACCGGTCACAATTCTATTTGGCATTAACTTCTCAAAGTATTTATGTTTAAAATGCATGCTAGGCTAGACTCATGTTATGGATTAAACCCTAATTCATACTTTGAAAAGCAATAATAACTACAAAAACAACCAAAAAATGTGCAAAACAGGCATGCACATTTGTACTTTCGAGAGCAATAATATATATAAAAGAAATAAGAATATAATGGTTCATCCTAAATATGAGAATTATGTTTACTCATGACTACATGTTTGTTCACTCTGACAAAGAAAAAGGTTATAATCGCAATCTCATGCTTCCCGTCTCACAAAAAATTGTCCCTCGAATTTATTATATATATCTAATAATAACTCTAAATAAAAGTGTGCCTCCACATTACTGAAGAATCCAGCCCCAAACCCCCTAAGCAGTTGATAACTAGAACCAACAACCAATTAATTTTATTAAGTACTTCTCTATTAAGCCCCTTTAACTACCATTTTTTGGGAAAAACATATTTTTAAATAATGATTTTTAAGAGAACATATGATTAAAAAGTAGAGAGAAGTTTTGGGTTTACATGCGGAATATTTTATTGCGTATATCTGTAGTTGAAAATAAGTATGTAAAAAAAAGTTTAGAAATAATAATTGTCAAACGAGGACCGAGTCTAGCTTACCAAATATAGGTGGGTATAGTACATAAAAAAAAAAAAAAAAATTAGCCTATGTCATGATTTCATCTATATGTTATGCCAGAAAAACCAGATATACAGTCATTAGTGGGCTACACTGTGAGTGAGCTGCAAAATTTACAGCCCACTAATAATTGTACATAGAGCATGTTTGATGTTATGCCAGCAATATTTTCTAGTTTTTGATAGATTTTCTAATCCAATAATCTGCCATTAAAATCAATCAGATTAAAAGACCTATGAATCTGCATTTATAAAGTGCTTGCGACGGTGGTGAAAGGATCGGTACATTAGAGGGGATGGGAGTCATGTGGCTTAGACAACCTGCATTAAATGCAGAGGGTTTGGGGCCTCTTCTCTTTGGAAATATTTACACTCATTAATTATGGTTTGGATATCCTTGAATCTTGACCAAAAAAAGGTTCTAACTTCTTACATTATACAAATAAAATATAAGCAACAAAAAGGGTTTATTAGACAGTAATAATCCGTGTTCATTTAAATTTTATTTTTCCCTGGTTATTCGACAGAGTTTTCTTTCCTACAGGCTGCAAGAAACCACATTGTCTTAAATTTGAGAAAAGATTTGGAAAAAAAAAAAATCTTGTTCTAACCTGTGAAAGTATTGTATATATATTGGAAGGTGTTTGAGGAAAAAGAAAAAAGCTTATTACTTGAGAGAAAATTATATTGTATTTGTTCAACCACCACCAACTTTTTTTCCTTGACCAGCAAACGATTTTAATGTAATGATGAATTTATTTATCTGTTACCTGTAGGTACTTGTCTAAATCCACCATTTCTCTTTCTTTTTTCCATTTTCTCTACAGATTTTCAAGAGGAGGGGCTTTTCCCAATTAAACGGGGTCGACAAGTGTCCTCCATAGGTAGATTATATTTCCATGTACCATTAGCAGAAAACCCAGGAAAAAAAGAAAGAAGGGTCTAAGACCCCATTCTCCCTTTCTGTCTTCTTTTATGGTTCTGTGGAAATTGGAATCTGCATTTTCATAGAAGAAGACGAATAGCAAGTTCGTGAAAAAATGGCTGCAGTGGTTCAAAAAACCAAATTAGTTCTTACAATGACTGGAATTTTTCTTAATGATGTCCTGAGTTTAATTGTTTTCACTCTTCTAGACGTTCTTGATTTTGTCTTATGTTACGTGTACAAAATCATGGATTTCTTCTTTGAAGCAGACTGGAAACCTTGTTATTGTTCATCAGCAAAAGAAGCGATTACAAGCAGTGGCAAGATTTTACTATCTGAACAGGGAGAGCCTAAAAAAATTGTGCGTTTAACTTCAAGCCAATTGCAGCTAGAAGAAATCTCAGACACACTCTACACACGCCCTTCATTGGTGTACGAGGTTTCGAAATCTACTGTCGAAAGGCTTAAAGTGGAGGGCACAAGCAGTGGTTCGGGTTCTTCCATGATCCAGTCTTGTGAGAAAATCAAGAAAAGAAGAACCGTTCGATCAACATTCACTATTAATTCCACCATTGTTGAAATGCTTCAAGGAAGGATCGGAGGGCAGCAATCGCTTCCCATTCCTAGATGGTCGGATTGTGATTGTAAAACCTGCACTTCATGGACCTCTTCTTGCAAAGAAACATTATTTGTCAAAACTGACGGGGCTAAAGGTAAAAAGAAAACCCACTTTAACAAATATTCAACTAATGCATTAAACTTAGTTTTAGACGAACAAGATTTTAACGTAGTGATTAATGTTCTGACGTTTTTTTCAAACAGATAATGCGCAAGAAGATGTCCTGTTCATTCATGGATTCATATCATCATCTGCTTTTTGGACTGAAACATTGTATCCAAATTTTTCCAAATCGGCCAAGTCGAAATACAGGTTATTTGCAGTGGATCTGCTTGGTTTTGGAAGAAGTCCTAAGCCAACTGATTCACTTTACACACTAAGAGAACATTTAGACATGATTGAAAGATCAGTTCTTGAGCCATACAAAGTGAAGGGCTTTCACATAGTGGCACATTCATTGGGCTGCATTTTGGCCCTTGCACTTGCAGTCAAGCATCCTGGCTCTGTCAAGTCATTAACTCTACTTGCACCAGTAAGTTCTAATTAATTTCTCTCTCTCTCTCAAACTGTTTAAACAAGATGATTTGATAGCTGTGCATCTTAAAAAATAATTCTCTTTATAGCAGCAGCTTAAGGTTTTAAACTTGGCAACAAAAATGCACGAAACTCCAAATTCCAAAACCTCAGTATGGAGCTCAAACAAACAAAACTTGCCCTTGGGATTTGTCATTTATTGCATGCTTTATTTAAGTGCGTATTACCGTGTAAACATGATTTTCTGTAATGAATAAATTAATATGAAATATATATGGCAATGGCAGCCATATTTTCCACCACCAAAAGGTGAACGAGCCACACAGTATATGATGAGAAGAGTGGCCCCACGGCGGGTGTGGCCATTTATAGCTTTTGGCGCGTCAATTGCTTGCTGGTATGAGCATATAAGCAGGACGATCTGTCTTCTAATTTGCAAGAACCACCGTATCTGGGAATTTCTAACCAAACTGGTCACCAGAAACAGGTACTTACAAGTCTCCTACAATCACACCTAACCTATTTCTTAGGGTCATAACTACATAACAGCCTATTTGGACGAATCACGGTGTATCTATGGGTTACTCAGGGCGGTTTGATATACATTATTTTTTTCATTCTCATTCTTCTACTCATTTTCAACCACACATTTTTCAATAAAATAATATTTTCCATCACATCAATAACTTTTCCTTCATTTTTAACCCCACATTCTCCATCAATNTACTCGAAGCTCTTACGATCTTAACCACACATTTTTCTATATAATAATATTTTTCATCATATCAATAACTTTTCCTTCTTTTTCAACTACACATTCTCCATCAATCTACTATTGTAAAAGTAATCTCTATTTAGCCCCTATTAGACAACAATTAAAACAATTTTTTTTTATTCAAACCCATTTACAACCTCACATTATCACGATAAAATATTCTGCATGTAAACTCAAATGTTTTCCTATTTTTTAACCACATAATTTACAAAAAATCAATATTCAAAAACTCATTTTCCCTAAAAACTCTTTTAGTGGTTGTCAAACAAGGACTTAAAGTAATCTTTATGTGCATGTTAGGTTTTAGCTATACGTGATTTGCTTAGAAAAACTTGTAGAAGAAGCTAACCTTAAATAATGTTTAAAAATCGAAAGTTGTTTCTTAAATTAAAAAGATGAGTTTAGAGGAAGTTTACGTAAGATAACTTTTTCAAAAAAACCGACGCACAAGGAAAAGAATAAACCTTGTAAAATAGGTCCTAAATATTGTATTTTAAAACCACTTCTAGATAGAGTATTTATTAGCTCTAAAAATTGGGGTAAAGACAAGCAAATACTAATTCCCTGTTTAGTGAAAATTAACTTTTTAATTAATTTAAATAATATATTTTATAAGATCCTCACATTTTTAATCATATGGTTCATCAATTTTTATTAAAATCTATTAAAAATCTAATTTTAATTCAACGAAAGAGATGCTAAATGAAGTCTACAACGTGGCACTCAATAGTATCAAAATACAATGTAATAGTCCTCTTCATGACATGTACGATGCTGTAATTAATGTTCTGAATTTAATTGAGTTTATCTCCACCGATATTAATGGTCCACCAACTTTTAAGATTTTTTATATTTTTTTAATAGAAAATCCATCATAAATAATTGCAATAGATTTAGAGAGTATGAACGTATTTTCTTTGTTTTTAAAACGTAAATTAATAAATCTTTAAAAGAACTTTTTAAAGCTGAGCTCCGACACGTCAAATGTGGTTGAGACTTTTATTTGTAAAAGGACAGAAGCTGATCTAAGTTTAACGTTCGTAATAAATAATGTTTGGTACTATTTTACTTATTTTCAAAGTAACTTATAATCCGTTGCATATTAAAAAATATTTTACAGGATCAGAACATACTTAATGGAGGGATTTTTCTTACACACACACAATGCTGCATGGCATACTCTACACAACATCATTTGTGGTACTGCTGGAAAAATCGAAGGATACTTGGACGAGGTTAAGGACAGATTGAAGTGCCATATCACTATATATCATGGCAAAGATGACGAACTTATTCCAGTCGAGTGCAGTTACAATGTGCAATCGAGAATTCCTCGAGCCCATGTCAAGGTGTTTGAAAAAAAAGATCACATCACTATAGTTGTTGGAAGACAGAAGGCATTTGCTAGGGAACTCGAGGAAATATGGAGGAATGCAAGTGGTTGAGATCGATATATTGGAGTCCTTTATTAGTAGAGTGAAAATTGTGCATGCATCCCTATATGATCACCGTGAAACTAAAGCTCAATTATATATAAGGATTAGATTAAAGAAAATTTGAATTCGACCCGTTTTCTAAATTAATCCCTTTCTCATCTGCCATGAAATGTTTAGGCCGTGTGAAATGTATTATGTAGGTGTGAAATGCTTTCTTAATCTTGTTGGTTGGTAAATTATGAAAAGAGAGCCAGCCATAAAATTTATAAATATATATTTTGGCTCAATTTATTAAATTGAGTTTTCTTTATCGAGTGTTGAAAGGCAATATTTAAATATATGTGACATTTCTTTAAGAGTTTAACCTTTTTGGACGATGTGATTAACGTAGACATCAAAATCAAACAAAATACTCGTGTTTAAATCTCGCTACTCCACTCCTGAAAAGTTTATGCACGTGTTAGACCTTTTATCCATGGATAAAATCTGTCGGTATCGATGAGATGAGATTTAGAAAAAACTATCTATCTGCATTTCATGGCTTGACGACTTTTTCTTATTTGTTTTCTGAACTAACTTCAACGCCACTTCTTAAGTGCACTGCAGTCTATCAGATTTGCAGGGTATGTGTCAATAATGTAGGTCCCCTAACCAATTGGGGATTGTTTCTACTACATAGTACAGAGGCTATATATTAGTCACTCTTTCTTGGTGGAGTATGTACTAAGAAAATTCAATTACATTAAATA